GGGGCGGGGCTCGGTGGGGCGGGGCCGCGGGCGACTGGAGAAGCCCCCTCTTCTCCACCGGGGCAGATGGGATGCAGGGAAATGACCCTGTAAGGGCGAGGACAAGAAGGGGCCGCTGGGCCCTTCGGCTTTGTCCCCTGAGAGGCTGCCATTCCCCCGCGGAGGGTGTCCACTGTCTCAGCTGTGGGACTCCTGCTCCGTGTCCAGCTCTGACGGTGGGGCTGGTCCCCCTTGCTGTCCCCACCTGACCCTTTCTGCATGCTTGTCCCTCCAGGGGCACCCCGAGTCACCGGGACTTGAGAGGCTCCCGACCCCGGTGGCCCTCCCCTGGGCTCAGGCGCCGGGCTCGCACTTTGCACAGGCACGGATGCTGGGTCCAGCAGGCAGCGCCACGGGTGGGCCCGAGCCCCCGGAGGTGGGCGGCCCAGGGGCTGGCGGGAGTGCAGCGCTGCCCAGGGCCCCACACGGGAGGTGGGATGCCCGGCTGTGGCCGCACCTGCCAGGGAAAGTCCTCACCGGGCCGCACCAGCCTGGCCCACGCGGAGGCCAGGCCAGGAGGCGGCGGGCGGCTGCCCAACAGGGACGGCTTCTCCCGGGGTGAGTCGGGTCCCTCTGGGGCCGGCCCTGGGAGGCACTGGCCCCCGCGAGCACCCTTCAGACATGCAGGCCAGGGGACCGGGGTCCGCAGGGCAGTGGCTGGGACCCAGGGCAGGTGAGGTGTCCGCACCGAAGCCACGTCTCAGATGGTGACCCTCGGCGGGTGGAGAGGTGGCACGCGGGAGCCGCCTGGGCAGTGTCTGTGCTGGCTGGGCCTGGATGCAGCCGAGCAGATGGCCCTGCGGTGCTGGCCGGGAAGGGAGCCGGGACACACCTGGGGGCGGGGACCCAGCCAGGCTCGAGCCAGCCGGCGGGCACCCGCTCACACACAGGCACACGCATGTGGACATCCGTGACAGCGCCGTCCCGTCCGAGCAGAGACCTGGTGCCGGCTCTGGACCGCAGCCCGGAGCCAGCGCACAGGGTGAACCCCGCGAGCACGGCGCGGGGCGGGCTGGAGACCAGCCAGGTGGCTCGGCCCCTGCAGGGCAGGACCCCCCCCGCAGCTGGGCCGCCCGCTCTGTGCCTCCACGGTGGCGCAGACTGGGGCCCGCCCGTGCCCCGCCCGCCCACTGGAAGCGGCGGCAGTCCCGCTCTCCATGGCAGACCAGGGCCCCTGGCTGCCCTCAGGTCTGGCGGGCAGCTGGCCCCGGTGACCGCTCCTGAGAGCCCGTGATTCATTCAAGATCAGAGTTTTGAAAATGGCACCTGTGACCATACTGGAGGCGGCGGACCCCCCCAGTCTGGACGGTCCCCCCAGTCTGGCCTGTCCTTGCCGACGGCACGTACCTCCGCTGGTTCATTAAAAAAAAAGCCCGCGCAGTGACCTGGGATAATGCACATCAGCAGCGCTGGAAATATGGGCTTTCTTCGAGAAAGACGCTGGCGCCCACCCAAACACTAGAATAAAAGCTTCTGGAAATATTTCACGTCGGCGCATTTGTTAGCGCCGTGACTGCGCGGAGGGCGGAGGCCCCCGGCCCGGCCTTACAGTAACTTTCTGAATTATGTCCCAGCAACATAACAAATCACATTATCAATTAGCTTCTCCAACAGAAGTGGCAATCTGTAATATATCCAAGCGTGAAAAAATGGCCCGGGTGAAATTTATGTAACCCTAAAACCACGAGGAGGAAGGAGATGGCCGGGATTGATGGGTGCCGGGCCCAGGTGCGGGCGCAGGGTGCTGGGCCGGGGCGCGGGCGCGGGCTC